CTATGGAACTTGGGTGTGGGTCTTTTGTCGAAATGGAATGGCCTTATCTTTTTATTTTTTCTTTTTCGTTAATGGGTTAAGGGCGGGGGTTCCGTTATAAATTAAATATAGTATACCCAACCCGAAGTTAAATCCCAAAGATTTGTTCTTCAAGCAAGAAGTTGAGATCAGTGTCGTAGCTTAGCCCAGAAACGACCACTAGTGCATTTTGGTTGATGTGATGAATAAGCTTGGCTCTTTAAGAAATGTACTGAAACCACTTGTCAACATTCTGGTTTGGTGCTTGTAGTTCGTTTCTCAAGCTCATTGCTACCACTTTTTGCATATTTATTATCAGGGAATCGTTCAAAACGTAATCTTTAATAATACGTCATTGAATAAAGTTCTTTGATCCAACTTCATGTCGGCTTCAATTATATTCTACCGCTGGAAAAGTTTTTATTACGAGTGCATGCTTGTGACCTCGTGGACAACAAAGAAAAAAGAAATAAAAAAAAGCATACTTGAGATATATGTTTTAGACCTTGCCAATTCCTTGTAGCCACTCTTGAGGATCAAAATAACGATCTCCAAAGAAACCGTTGTCGTCGTTACAACACCAGCGTGGTTGGCTTATGTGGTTATCTGAAACCAACATGACTCCATGTGTTGCAAGTGAATCAACCACAACTCCATACGTTTCAACCAGAGTCATGTACAAGATAGAAGGATTATTGTGTGTTATGCCTGCCATGACATTTATCATATCAAAATTTTCGAGAGATTCTTGAACGGTCAAATTGGCATGGTGTGTCAACATGTGGATTGAGTATGTCAAGCTCACACAATTGACTTAGACTTCCCATGGTACAACATGCTCAGGACTTAGACAATGCTGCTTGAAACGCATGAAGCCTTGAGCGTAGATATCCAGAATATGCTGTTTGGAACGCATGAAGCCTTGGGCATATGTATTTAGGTTGTATTACAGGGCAAGCCCTAAGATGCAGGATTAGACTACATCGCTTGGAACATAAAAAGCCTTGGATGTAGGTTTTCAGACTACGCCGCTTGGAACGCATGAAGCCAGCCCATAGGTTTTCAGACCGTATCAAAGGGCAAGCCCTAAGAACAAAGAACAAAGAAACAAGAACTATAGTACTAAAGCCCTTAAAGGATAACCAAGGTTTTAGAATCTAAGGACCAAGTTCCTCAAGATAGATCATGATAAGAACCTTAAGTCAAGAACAAGAATTAGAGGGCCTAAGTACTCCACACAAGAACGAGAACAAAAAAAAAAAAAAGTGTGGTACCTTAACATATCAAGGACACGATTAATAGCATACAAGTAGGCTAGTTACTGAATATTTGTACTCATTCCTTATTCTCCATTTTTTTCAGGTAACAAGGAGTTGGTCGAGCCGGGAACAAACTCTAGAGTAGGTGCTATAGACAAACCTCACCCGTCGTCCTCGACCCTTTTATTTTAAAATATTGTGTCCGTTCCTTATTTTATGTTTTAACTAGTATGTTGTGTTTTAAATACTTATATAAAAACTTTATTTTTATATAATGTAAATATAATGTTTGTTATTTTTAAATTTGGTTTATTTTATTTCGCAAAAATTTTACCTGTCTTTTTGTAGTCATCGAGTCAACCCGATTCTTACAAACTGTGTCACGATTGGACAAAGATGGAATTGAAATAATATAATTGTCAACAACAATTTTGCTTATATCTTGCTTTTCATGTTATTATTTTTATAAATGTGAATTTTAATCAAAAATTTGTAGAAGAATATTTTTTTAATCCTATTGTCTTTTTAAACTTTAAATTAGACAAAAAAAAAAAAAAATACAATTACACTATTTATTTAATAATATTTTAACTTATGTTGTTCATATTCTATATTTGCAATTACACTATTTATTAAATAATAAAATAAATTTATCAATGTAGGAAATGATAATAAAGAAAACTAAAATATGTTATAATATTGGAAATTAAAGTAAAAATACATTGGAGACTGACGATGGGCTATGACCTGTCACCTCCCGGTTGGGTGGAAATGACAAAACTACATACACGGGTTCGAGCCCATTAGAGACCCAGTTCTGTTTCTTCGTTCCCCTCTAACTACACCTCCAGAGGAAGAAGATACAGAGATGGAGTAGAGTAAACCGAACCAGATCCTTCGCTAATTCAGCAGGCTCCATTCGAATCATTCCTCCATTGAAGATCTAACTTCCTCGCTCTGTTATTCTTCCTCATCCAATTTGATTCACAACTTTTCTCAGCTGGGGTTTCAATTCTTGAATTCAAGTTCTACTCCGTCTTTGGTCTTATGACGCGAAAGCTGTGAAGCTGAACTCTCGGTTGAAAATGGAGTGGAACACGATTCACCATCTGGATCTACGGCATGTAGGGCGAGGTCTGAAACCATTACAACCTCATGCTGCTGCATTTCATCCCCATCAAGCACTCGTTGCCGTCGCCATCGGTACCTACATCGTTGGTCAGTAGTTGTTTCGGCTTCATTTCCTTTGTGATCTATTTCATTACTGTATATCTTTTACACTTCTGCTTCTCTCTGCCAATTTGAGCGGTTTAGTTCTGATTTTACGACAATTAGGTAAACATTCTAATGACAAGGTCACTCTGTAAACGTTATAGGCTACTAACTTATGAAAAGTGGTGATTATTCTCTTTCTAATGTGGAAATATTTGATGGTGAAAGTTAAGAGTAGAAGGAGAGAACTGTGTACTTTTTCTCGTGGACTATTTTTCTGGGATTGGGAACATACTGTGATCTTTAAGTCCTGATACCATGCTCGTAGCCATGTTAGGGATTTGAGTGATCCGACCACTACTAGGGTTTATGTGATTTTAGACTTGTAGTTGGTACTTAGACTTTCCGAGCTGGAATTGGCAGAAAAATCTTTTTTACCTACGGACCAGGCTTCTGCTCGATCTCTTTTTTGTGTCTGCCTCACTCGAGGGAAAATTAATTTTTGACACGGTTACTGAATAATGGGAAAACATCATTATTGGTGGCTGTAATGTTATAAACTTAGCATCTGGCAACCTCATTAATCAGTTTTTGAGATGTATGCTTATCAATACCTATTTCTTTTGGCTATGCCCGCTGTTACATTTTTTAATGATGTTTTTCCACGTTACTTTTTTGTCCACAGAATGTGATGCATTAACTGGTTGCAAGATCTCTTCCATTGACATTGGTGCTCGAGTTGTTCGCATGTCTTATAGCCCCAAAAGTGGGCATGCTGTGATTGCAATGCTTCAGGTGATCCACTGTATATGGGATTTTTCAACATTCTTGAGTATTTTTAGTATTTATCTTTTTTCTCTATTATTGTTTTTTTTTACAAGGAATCAAATTTTATTAAGCAAAATGAAAGAATAAAAGCAGCGGGATTTTTAGAGAGGTGAAGGTATTGTTTGCGGAGGTTTGAGAAGTTATTAGGTTTAATGCCTCACTATGGTTGTTGGTTGAGCAGCATTTTATTTTTTTAAAAAAATATGAGCTAGGTTTTATTATGTTGGATTGAAGTCCTTTTTGTTAGTTAGGTTACAGACTCCCTTTTTATTGGAGTTGTGGATGAAAGGAGGCTTAGCTTTTCTTTTGGGGGAATTTTGTTGGAATGTAATAGGGAAAGTTGCAAGGGTAGATAGAATCATGGATGATCAGATGGTTGGAGTTTGCTCCTTAGAACGTCATTCCAGGTTACTAGATTTCCAAAGTTTTATAACAACTCTCCGTCAATCTCTCAATTATCTGGGCAATGGAGTTTTATTTTTTATTTTTTATTTTATTATTATTATTTTTTTGCAGTTATTTAGGTTTTATGTGGTGTGTGGTTGGGATGGTTAGTATGTAATCCTGATTCAGTAGGTATTGTGACTGGTGGAACAGGATCTAGTAGAAATACTGTAAAGAAGTAAAAATGCTAGCTATGTGGGAATTTTTTTACCCTAGTTCATGTATATTTTACCTTCCCTTTTGTAGGATTGCACAATTAGATCCTGTGACTTTGACTCAGAGCAAACTTGTGTCTTGCATTCCCCTGAAAAGAAGATGGAACAGATTTCATCTGATACAGAAGTGCATCTTGCACTGACACCACTACAGCCTGTTGTGTTCTTTGGGTTCCACAAAAGGATGAGTGTGACAGGTCAGCTACCATCATTTAATGAATTTCCATCTTCTTTGTGATTGTGCATTTTTTGCTGTCTAAGACACATAATTGCCTGTGTAACTGTTGAATATTCGTTGCTACATGACAGTTGTTGGTACAGTCGAAGGGGGTAGGACACCAACAAAAATTAAGACAGATTTGAAGAAACCTATTGTCAATCTTGCATGCCATCCTCGCCTACCTCTATTGGTAATAGTTTTTTATCCTTCGCTAACTTTCAAACATCTTCTTCTTTTCTGTTTATTAATACTAAGGGTCTGTCCTTCCTTCTCATGCAGTATGTGGCTTATGCTGATGGTTTGATTCGGGCATATAACATTCATACTTATGCTGTTCATTATACTCTGCAACGTGAGATGAGAATAGATTCTTTCTTTTTTCTTTGTTAAGATGCTTCATATTGCACATATGAAAGTAATAAGTTTTTTTTATTCAGTTGACAACACTATAAAACTCATTGGTGCTGGAGCATTTGCCTTTCATCCAACTCTGGAGTGGATTTTTGTTGGTGATCGAAGGGGTACACTTTTGGCATGGGATGTTTCAACTGAGAGACCTAGTATGATTGGAATGTGAGTCATTATGGTTACATATTCTGTTGCGTGTTTTACATGCCATCAAATTCATTCTTTAACCTTTTTCCATCGTCTGGTTGCATAAAAAAGAAGTAGCTTATTTCTCCCTTGTCATTATTGCTAGCTACTTATTTATATAATTAAATTGATGCTCAAGAAGTTCCAACTCTAAGTGGTCACAGCATCACTTTTATCTGGAGA